TCATCCTGTTTCCTCCATTCGGCATTTCTAGCCTTTTCATTAAATGAACCTGTTTTATCACATTCTTCAGACGAAGAAGGCGTTTCGCTGTCAGTCAGCTCTGTGTTTCTAAAACTGTTCCAAAGGAGGTCAAAGGTTTCATCAGTCATTGGCATGTCAAGTCCGTTGCTTACAAAGTAGCAAGGCATAATGCGTTTCTACTTAATTATATACGGTTCAAGTAACTTTATCCTCAATCATAATCTGCTGCAAGTCCCTAGCACAAACCAAAACCATTTTCAGCTTCAACACTTTGCAGCTTTTTGCTTGTTTCCTCTGATCCAACCCATGCCCAGTCCCTTCCATGCCAAGCTGCTTTGTCATGCTATGGCATTGCTTCATGCAACTTGTCGTTTGCATGCTTCTCTCTTCCGTGTCGCGTTCTTCCTGCTTGTCGAGATTGTCCTCACATGGTTTGACATTGAATGAGGTTGATGACCTTAAGAAGCCCCAAAGCTCAGAACTTGTTTGGCTTTGGTTGTCCTGACATGTGCAAAAAGAGCATTCATTGGCATGACGGCTAGTTGTGGCTCGCCTCCCTGACTTTGGGCGTTGCTATGTGTCCGTGGTGGTTGAAGTAGTAGTGCCTGCATAGTGGTTGTTCCAGCAAAGCTGTTTATCATGTGGTCAAGGGTTGGTAGGGAGATGTCGGAGCCTGTGCACGTGCTTTGAGAGTTTCATTGGCGCTGTTGTTCACTCAAACCCCTTGAGCACATGTTCATCACTTCAACATTCAGCCACACCATGCAAGCAATAGTTTGTACCAAGGTGAAGGCAATGTGTTGCAGTGTTGCCATGTATTACGCTACTGTTTGGGACATAACCTCAGAGAAGAAACATCAGTTAGGCGTCCCCCATCATGAGGCGACCTGCCCAAAGACGGCAAGGTCTGTGCAAACTGATAAAGACCTGCGCGCTGGTCTTGGCATTGCTTTTCATTGACGGTGCACGCGAGCGTTTGACCTTTGTCGGTGGAGGATGCCATCCATTCCAGCCTCTCATTGCATTTGACGGAAGAGTGCCGACGAGATTGAAAGCAGAAGTCCGTAATGCAAGTACTAAAAAACCTCTGATACTGCCACCTCCGAGCAAGGCAGCAGATCCGCAGAACCACGTTTTCCTCTCCCTGACAGACTACGACAAGAAAATTGACAAGTTGTTTGAAGGAGACCATGATGTCGTCTTCATTCGCGGTGGTGTAGCCTAGGCAAGACAACGCTGGTAGAACATTTGGCATGTGAGTTTCCCCAGAAGTACGTCAATGTTCCCTTCACCGATGCAGGAATAGCAACTGCTTGGAAGATGGGCACGGTAGAAGCATTGGAGAAAGCGATCGGCAAGAAGACCGCCCGAGAAGGTTTGGAGTTTAGGAACGCCTTGAAGCTGGCGAGAGACAACAATCTGACGCTCGTCTATGACGAGGCTCACACCCTCTTCTCTTCACCAGAGCTATGCTCAGCGCTCTTCAAGAGCAGTACAGCCTATCAACCAAAGATCCTGCTATTCTCAGCTTCAGGGGATGCTTCCACTGCATCAACCCTGATTGTGTCCACACCGGGTGAAATTACCCAGAAATACATGTGGACACCTCCCTTGAACTCCACGTCAGAGCTTCAGGAGCAGCTGAAGGAAGCCGGTGTTAGGCTGGACCAGAAGAGCATCAAGTTCTTTATACAATTTTGCGGTGGACATCGTGGCATCTTCATTGCAGCAATGCGCTGGGTGCAGAGCAAGCAGAGAAGTGGGATTTCCCGCTGGGCTTTCCCGCAGACAGTGGGTTTTGTGCGGAATAGCTACGATGGAGGAGATTGGGATTGCGCAAAAACTGAGATTTTGGGGTACCTGCGCCAGAGCCGTGCAGTGAGGGTCAATGGTTTGTACAAAGACGTGAGCAACGTGCCGAGAGAGTTTGCAGAGCTTTTGTGCAAAGCCTCAACAACATTGCCACAGCATGTCCGGAGAGACCTTACCATCCACGGCTTCGTGGTTCCCAAATACAGTGGTACGGAGAGAGAGTTCCAACAGTTGGATTGGATGACTGAGGGCACAGAATACCGAGCGGCAAATCCTTTGCTTGCCTCGTATTACTTCCACAATCTGAAGAAGAGGCAGAATTTACAAGTTCACTTTGAGCCCGGAAAACCCCAACACTGTGCAGACCTATTGATGCGAGCATTGCCCTACCTGCTCTTCTCCCGGGTTGTGCGCTTCGAAGCAAACACTTCTGAGTTGGCGAAGGACGGTCTTCCGAGTGAGGAGCAGTACAACCAGGCGATCTGCATGGTTTTGAAAGATATGATGTACCAGCCTGTTTCCACAAAGCAATCTCGACAGGGTGTGGGAAATCCAGACATTGCACTGGAAAATGGTGGGGAAAGGTTCGTTCTGGACGGCGTGAAATTCGGAGGACAAATCAACAGTCACCTTCAGCGCTTCAATAGCATGACGAACTACAAGAACGCCAAACACAAGGGACTCTACATCATCGGCAATGACAATAAGAAGATGAGTGACACGGTGAACAAGACTCAAGCGGTTGATGTGCAAGTCATAGGCTTAGTCCCTAACATAGCTCACACAGCCTACACCGTCCACGTGAAGAGCAAGGGCATGATCATCAACACCTTCAATGTGGAATGCGACCTCGTGGCAAGGAGGTTGGTGCTCAAGGACGACGGCAAGCCTGAGCTCTACAGTGTCCAATCGCTGAAGAGTGTCAATCTACCTCCAACAGCTCAGACCAGACGCTGGGTGAAGTCTTGCAGTTTTGTTTGTTTTGGTTTGTCTGCCGTTCTTGTCCTACAGTCCTACCTTAGCAAAACATCCGAGCATTTGAAAATGGACCAGCGACTGCCATCTTTTTTCACGCTACTTGCAGGCACTAGTGCTACGACAAAAGCTGTTTGGGTGAGGCAGCTCCTCCATAAGGACTGATGACAGTTCCACATGCTGAGCTTGTTTCGAGAAAGGGTGTCTATGTAATGTTCCTCCCAAGCCCTAAAATGTGGGAAATTGCGATGAGCAGCTCAAAAAGGCAGCCCCCATCAAGAAAGCCTATTTTGGCGAAATGGGATTTTGCGACGGCTGGTTGGTTCGGGGCCTCCTGGAGCCGTTTTCCCGGCTTACCGAGCCCCAGTATAAGCAAGGAAACTGTGACGAGCAGTTGGAAAAGGCAGCCCCCCGTCGAAAAAACCCTATTTTGGCGAAATAGGGTTTTGCGAAGGTTGGTTGGTTCGGGGCCTGCTGGCCTTGTTTTCCCGGTTTACCGAGCCCCAGTATAGGAAACTGCGACGAGCAGCTGGAAAAGGCAACCCCCGCCAAAAAACCTTCTTTTGGCGAAATAGGGTTCTGCCACGGTTCGTTGGTTCGAGGCTTCCCTGACGCCTTTTCCCGGTTTACCGAGCCCCAGTTGAAGGCTCAAATGCCGGATTTTGGAACCACCTCCAAAGCCAAACGCTTGCAACCCACACGACATGAGCGCAGGGTCAACACCCCAAGTATCGGAGAGATCGAAAAGAGAATACGCAATGCTGTTCCCAGGCATCCAGTCCACTGCCTGCAACCGGATCTCTCTCAGTACAGAAGATTCAAACACAGCGGCCTCGACATGCAGGTGCTCACCGCAACGGTCACCCCAACCAAGCCACGTCCACAACTGGGTGCGTGCGCTGGTTGGGGTGCTAGGCCTTCCCGAGGTCACTTAATTTCATATTTCCAACAACGTCGCATAATTTCGTTTCCGATTTAACGAAAATAACCGACGACCCACGAATTGTTACAATTTGCTCAGAAAAAACCCAATAAACAGTTGATCCGAGTCACTGTAAACACGGTGAGAATGACGTCAGGAGAGGCCCGGGGTATTTCGAAGCTATAAATACACCAACAGACTTCGCGCCTGAGCTGCCGCCAACTTCTATTTCGATTCAAGGATATAATCACGCAATGTCAATGGGGAACGCGGCCTGACGCGGGGAATGTGGCGTCAATAGCCGGCGTCAGGGAGGTATGCGGCGTCAGACAGGAACGCGGCGTCAAGGAATGCGGCGTCAATAGGCGGCGTCAGGGGGGTATGCGGCGTCAGACAGGAACGCGGCGTCAAGGAATGCGGCGTCAATAGGCGGCATCACGGGGGTATGCGACGTCAGACAGGAACGCGGCGTCAAGGAATGCGGCGTCAATAGGCGGCGTCAGGGAGGTATGCGGCGTCAGACAGGAACGCGGCGTCAAGGAATGCGGCGTCAATAGGCGGCGTCAGGGGGGTACGCGGCGTCAGACAGGAACGCGGCGTCAAGGAATGCGGCGTCAATAGGCGGCGTCAGGGAGGTATGCGGCGTCAGACAGGAACGCAGCGTCAAGGAATGCGGCGTCAATAGGCGGCGTCAGGGAGGTATGCGGAACGCGGCGTCAAGGAATGCGGCGTCAATAGGCGGCGTCAGGGGG